AATTGAAAGGTAGAGGAAATGCATTACCGATTAGCCGCAAAAACGCATGACGTCGAATATGTGCCTCCGGAGACTTGTGTAAGTGGGAGTCATAAAACCGTTTCAGCCCCAAAGCTCCTCCCAGCCTGCAAACCTGTCGCTGTCCTGCTCAGAGGTTGCCCACCAGCACATTGATGGATGGTGGTAGCTTTCAGATTTAGCTGAAAGGCAGGGTTCCAGAAACTCTTTGTAACTTTCCTAACCCTTTACACTGTCTGGTTGTACATAAATATTTTAAGTGAATCCTGTAGTTACCATTACCCACTGTTTTAGGATTTTTGCTTCTTGGGGGGCAGCATAGTGTATAATCAGAGAAAACGCTCTTGGTGGTGGCAGAGTTAGTACTAGGACTTAAGTCATCTGATTTATTAAACAGCCAAGTGACCCTCCAACAAGCAAGTTCCTTAACTTCTCGGGACTTCTTCCCTGTCTAGTGAGAGAGGGTTGGATGGTAGCCCTGCTGCTCCCAGGATGGTCCAAGCATCTGCAGCACTGGGGAAGTTCTCAGAAATGCAGACCCTGGAGCCCCGCCCCAGAGCCACCGAATCCCAATCTGCATTTTAATCAGATTTCAGGTGATTCGTGTGCATATTAATGTTTGAGAAGTGCTGGGTGGTCTCCCAGACTCTGGTCTAGTTCCAATATTCTGTGCCTTCTAGGTTCCTCTGTCATTCATCACAGACTGCCTCATAAAAACGTACAGGGTTCACTGGCGAGGGCCGGTCGCCCCTGTGTAGCTCGGGGATTGTGGGCAGTGGCAGTGACCCCCAGGCTCAGCCCCCTCCTCTTGCTGGGTCCGGCCGCGTTTAGGTTGGGACTGAGACATGGGAGGAGGAGACGTGAAAGCCAACTCCATCTGCCTTCATAGAGCCTTGGGAGGCGAACCCAAGCCTGCGGGCTGCCTCCTGCAAATCTGACCGAGTTGTCCAAATTCTAGAGGCTCATCAAATAAAGAACAAGGAGACCCCATTAGCTAGATGTATGAAGTACTCGTGGGTTTCAAACATGCTTTCTTACCCTCGTAGTAAGTTAAAACACTGTCTCCTCCGGGTGGCGTCCCCTGGAAAAGGAATCTTGCTTTTATGTCAGAGAGAAACATCGTCTGGACATAGATTTTTGGAGGGAGATCGTGAATTTGAATTTAAACTTAATGAGATAGAAAATATTGCTGTGTTTATCCTTTGCTGTCTCAGCCCAGAGAAAACAACACAGACGAAAGGAGAGCAGTGTGTCCCTGCCACTGGAGCAGGCGCGGTAATCCTGAATTAGCTGCCAAAGTGTGAGGAGACCTGCTTCTGCGCCTCGAGTTTTCTCATTGAGGGAAATGGAAAAATCTCTCTTATTCTGTGCTGCCAGGATATCTGCCCCAGACCTAACTGCCAGCCCACAATGCATGCAGCCTGTGATTTTCATTGAGCTCATGTAATCACTCACTGTGGAAAATCTTGCGAAAATGATAGGAAGGAAACACAGAGTGAGTGAGGAGCCGAGCCAGCACCCCTGGGCCCGGGAGTCTGCGCACAGAGGTCTCCGTCTGCGTTGAGGGGCTCTCCTGGCTGAACGGGGTCTCTCTGCTTCCAGGGTCTCGATGTAAGGTTTGGGGATTCATAAAATGTCAGCTTATCATAAGCAAAAATCTTCTTTAGAAGGGTCCTCCAGACAGCACCGGATGGAAATGCGTGTGAGCAGACGTCCGAAGTCTGAGTTACTTTTCTCCACGTTACTTTCATTGGGTGCTGGGTCCTTTCGTACCTGAACCCTGTGGAGAGGGGGCCCTGCACCGAATCGGTCCGAGCGTCCCGGACGCCGGGGGACTAGAGGACGGCCAGGTTCCTGTTAGCCCAAAGTGCACTCTGTAAACCCACACTTTGTTCTCCCTCCGTGCATGTCCTAGAGGAGAGCACTGGCGATGGACTGCTCTGACAGGGCCCAGGGAAGGAAAAGGCGCGGCGGGCACGAGAACGCACCAGCGGGCGGGAGCGGACCCGTGAACACCCTGTGCGCTTGGTACAGGGAGACGGGGAGAAGAGGCCGGTGGCCACAGCCGCTCATGTAGGGACGCCTGGGACACCCCACCCGGAGGACACGGCAGCCTGGGGCCGTGTATAAGTTGTGTAGTAATAACAGGATGGGTCTTTTTGCACAAAGATGTGGGAAAGATCATTTTTCCTCCAGATGTATACAAAAGTACTCATAAGTAGGGCCGTTTTTTAATATTTAATGCCATGTTTGTCTTTCATCATTCTGTTAGAGAATGTTATGGAATTTGACTTATGGGGCAATTGGATGGCCCCTAGACTAGATGCAGCCTAGATCTTTGGACCCTTTTAAATTCACACAGGAGCATCTGTTTTCCAAATTTCTTTCATGGTTGTAGAATTTTCCTTAAATATTACATCCAGGCTTGGTCTCAATGTTGCCACGTGGGTGAGGACTCCTAGTGGGGGTGGGGTGGGGTGGGGTGGAGGGGA